AATTTCAATTTTTTCTCGGGGGCTTGCAGCACTGTTGCCCTATTATTGCCCTATTGTTGCTGGTTGAGAAGGGCCCCCCATAACAGTTCAAGCTTCAGGGTCGCAAAAATGTAGGTCTGCCACTGGCCGAGTTCTACATCTGGGTAACAAAAATGAGGAACATGCATACTGGATGAGGGATACACTTCTGGGTAGCAATGTGTGTGAACAAAATCTTGGGGTATGGGTGGACTAAAAGCTAAATATGAGCAGCCAGTGTGATATAGCAACAAAAAAGGCTAATGCAATCAACAGAGGCATAACATCCAAATTGTAAGCTGTCACAGTCCCCACTGTACACTGCCTTGGTCAGGCCACACCTGGAGTATTGTATGCCATTCTGGAGGCCTTACTTCAAAAAGGATGTGGACAGAACGGAACACGTGCAGAAGAGAGTGACAAGGATTATTGGCAGCCTGGAGACCAAGCCCTATGAGGACTTGGGTATGTTCAGACTGGAGTAGAGGAGGTCGAGGGGGGACATGATGGCTCTCTTTAAGTATTTGAAGGGCTGTCACTTAGAGGGCAGGGAGTTGCTCCAGTTGGCAGCAGAGGATAGGACTCATAGTAATGGGTTTAAATTAAAGGCAGGAAGGTACTGGCTGGATATAAGGAAATCTTTTCTTTACAGTAAGAGTTGGGCAACAGTGGGATCAGCTACCTGGGTGGGTGGTGGGCTCCCCCTCACTGGCAGTCTTTAAGCAGTGGCTGGACAAACACTTGTCAGGGATGCTCCAGGCGGATCCTGCATTGAGCAGATTTGGTCTAGATGGCCTGTAGAGCCCCTTCCAACTTCTCCTGCTTGTGCATGCTCCCTCTTTCTCTATCCCACTCTATGTCTTCTCCCTCTCTGTCCTTTTCTCTGTAGTCTTTCTGTATTCCTGTTTCTTTAGTGCGCTGCCTGAGGGGGTACACAACTGAAATGCTTAGGTGAGCCACAAAGCATCTGGACAATTGGAGCTAACTGGGCTGGCCCATGACAGAGCCTTCGTCTCCCATGAACCATGCCACTGCAGGGAAAAGGGTGTCGGAATACCACCTTTAATCTGTCTGCTGGATTGAGAGGTTGTTTTTGACCTTCATGCATGGTACCCTGTTGAATTCCAGGAAAATGAGCTTAGAGGCTTCTGAGCTGCCCAAAAGTGGTTGCTTTCAGTTGTGTATTGCAATTGTGCACATTATCACTGGGTTGCCCAACTTGGAAACAGAAGGGCCTGGCACAGAACAAGGAAATTTCCAGTGTGCATATGTGTTGGCAGGGTTTCTATGCACCCCAAGAGGACTGCAGCATTAAGGTTTGGGGTGCTGGGGCCAGGTTGTGGCCACATTCTGCTTCTTCCCAGGAATGTCCCACAGTGTCCAGGAGGAATACAGCAAGGATGTGGTGGTGGTGGGGAGCAGTGGGGTTCTTCAGCCTTGACTGGGCTGCATGTGCCCGCCCTGACCAGGGGCCTTTCTCTTCTGCAGCCCAGTGCAATTCTAACACATTATTGAAAGGTTGTGGCCACTGACCACATGCAACCCTGCATGACTCTTCACCCCACTCCAGCTACACTAATTAGCCAATTTATAGAATAAAGTTAAGTAACCTGAATGACCAATAGCAATCCCAAACTAATTGAAAATGACCTATGATAACTTCTGGACTAATAAGAAATTTTGGGAAATGACCTCCAGTAACCCCAAAGCTAATTGGATTTTTTTGAGAAATGACCTCCAGTAACCCCAATGACCTATAGTAACCCCAAATCTAATTTGAAATTTTGAAAAATGACCTCAAGTAATCCCAATGACCCCGGACTAATAAATTTTGAAAAATGACCGCAAGTAACCGCAAGTAATAAATTTTGGGAAATGACCTATAGCAACCCCAAGGACCTATAGTAACCTCAAAGCCAATTGGAGATTTTGAAAAATGACCTCAAGTAACTCCAATGACCTATAGTACCCCCCTGACCTAATAAGAATTTTGGGAAATGACCTATAGTGACCCCAATAATCTATAGTAGCTCCCAACACTGATTGGAAATTTTGAAAAATGACCTCAAGTAACCCCAGTGATCTACAGTAAGCCCTGGAGCAACTGGAAATATTTCAGAGTGCCTCTCCAGTGACTTGAAGACACTGCATTGATCTCCAACCCCCAGCTGGGATCCAGCAGCAACCTCCCGAGTGACTGCTTCTTCAGGGGGAGTGTAACCCCCTCACAGTTATGCTGATGAAGAAAGCACTCCACTCTTATCAGGACCTCCGCAAACCTACCCAAATCAGCTGCTGGAACAGGATTTGGTGTTACCTGTGTAGATCTTCACTGTCTCCCAGCAGCTTCATGTAGATGTTTAATAGCGGAGGGGGGGGGGATACCCATGTAGGAGCCTGCAGCATTTATGTCATGAACCAAGCTGGAATGCCCCCAGCCTTCCATTTCTTACTTCTGGAACCAGCCAGCAAGGTAAGAATGGAACTGCTGAAGAATGGGTCTCCCTCCCCCCAAACTAGCCATAGTATCTGTCAGGCACTGGTATATCCAAACTCAATAATGGGTCCAGAAGAATTGATAATCTGTCTCTGTTATGACCATCTGCTTAAGCGCCACACTCAAGCATGGGATGCTGACCACTGGGCAGGAAGTTACTGAGGCCATTTGGGGAGCTTCAGTTGGGTAGCTGTGCTGGCAAAAGTTTATGCCCAGGAAAATCTTACTGGTCTTTGAGGTACTACTGGACACGAATCTTGCTCCTTCTTCAGAGAGTGTTCTCGTTACTCTTGCACTGCTGTTTGGCCCCTATGCAAAGACCACGCACGTGCAGCTGACTCTGACAGCGGGACAGAAACTACAGAGAATGTGACTCAAACACACCAAGGAAGTAAAACAACAACAGCAGCAAACAGTCTGTCTCAACTTCTCCGACAAAGAGTATCTCTGTGTATTCACAAGTTTGCTTGTGGGGGGAAAAAACTATGACATTTATACTTGTCAGTTTTGTGCAGCATTTACATTATAAATTATATATTATGCTATTAAAAGTTTAGTTTTTATAAGAAAGTATTGCATATATTTCAGTTGTCCCCCAACCTTCACGTCTTAAAAGAAAACGGTGTGTGTGTGTGTGTGTGTTTTCCAGGGCATCAACGTTTCTAGAAAGTTCACAGTTCTGGTAACCGATTCTAGGGCAGTTCATGCGTCTTCACAATCAGGCATGGCGGCATGTTCACAAACTGGAGGCAGACAAAGAAATATATTCCATACATGCCACCAGCAGTCATAACAAAAGCATGTAGGATCCACGTGACACACAGTGGGCCGACACCCTCCTCTCCTCGTAGAGGAATGAGACAAGTTCATTTTTGTTCCAAAATCAGGAGCCACAGAATAGGTAACTCCTTTTCTGTGCTGCATTGCAGCCGCTTGCAAAATTAAACAATTTAAAGGCAGGGGGGAAATAAATAATTTCCTTCATGGGTCTCACTACTCAAACTACAAAGTGAGCTTTTGTTGAGATACACAGAAAACAGTAGTGGAATCTGGCAGGCAACAGGAAGGCAAGACATGTTTACAGGAAGGCTTATTACCAAGATCTGGCATAGGATGGAGCCAAAGGAAACTCTGGTGTGGTGAAAGTTAAGGCATTTTACTTAGGTCTCCCTTGTATTGCTTGCTTCCGTTTTGTTGTTGTTCAGTCGCACAGTCGAGTCCGACTCTTCACGACCCCATGGACAAGATCTCGCCAGGCCCTCCTGTCTTCCGCCGTCCTCTGAAGTTTTAACCTTCGATAAATGCAGCAGGTATGCAGAGAGACGTAGGATGAGGGCAGTAGGCAGGGGGGCTTAGCACAGTTGTGACCTTTTATACACCTTCAAAGACTGTGCAAGAAAGACAGTCACCCTTGTCAATACCGCTACCTGCAATATTCATCTAATACTTTATTGATTATAGGTTCAGGTGGGTAGCTGTCTTGGGCTGAAGCAATAGAACAATGTCTGAGTCCAGTGGCACCTTTAAGATCAACAAGGTTTAAGTCTGGGTAGAAGCTTTCAGGTGCAGGCACAGTTCTCCAGTGTATCTGAAGAACTGTGCCTGCACATGAAAGCTTCTACCCAGAATTAAACTTTTTTTTTAACTGGACTCAGACTTTGTTTTACTGATTATATTAGGCAGGAAATGGTTTGCACAGCCAAGCCCTGCATCCCATTAAGAGGCAAATGCACAAATCCTGCTCCTTCCCACCCCTTGTCCTGCTTGCCATTCTCTTTATTTCTCATGTATACAAAGTGATAGCTTTGTATGTCAGCACTGTGGCTGGCTTCTGTGCCAACACCTAAAAAGGTTCTGAAAGCCAAACCCCATTTCACTCCGTCAGAGTAGAAGTTAACAGTTTACATTACTTTTGAAATCATCTATTTGTTCTTAGTCAAAACATATTGTCGATGGTCAGTAGAAAAGTGCTTACTTGAGGAAAAAACACTGTTATGGTTATATCTTCATTGGCCATGTAAATATCTATGCTATAAATTCCTGTCATCATTGTGAGGAGTGGTACTTCATTCACAGACAGCTTCCAGCCACCTTAAATCCATATTGTAACTGAATTTTTTGAGCTGTTTCCACTTTGAGATATATTTCCTATTACACAATGCAGCGGTATTCTTTAAGCAGTAGTTACTTTTCATAGGTCAAGTGTACACAAAATCCAGCAAATTCGGCAACAGGGGGTTAGTGTCCCATGGAATATAAAGAGCCTTAGAGGGCAATCTGAACCATCCCAGTTAAGGTCTTTGTTGCTGCATAATCTCCAAAAATGCATGTACTATCCTTTCCGTTTCCGAAAGAGACTGATTCACCTTCTAAAAGTCTGCAGATCCTCTATACTACCAACACATTCCATGACTGTTACATGTAAATGACTGTTCAGCCTGTCTATACGTTTGAATTCTAACTTCCATTCCAGTGTATTTTAAAAAGTGTGTGCCTTGCACATGAAAGCTCATACTTTGTTGCCACTGGACTCTAAATTTGATCATGACCGTTAAACACATTGATTTTCAAAGCTTCCCACCTTTGAGGGGAAAGGAATCTTTTCCTCAGATTCATCCCCCCCCCCCCGGTTCAAAGGCTCCTGAGCCCCTTGCCGCGTCACTGCCTCCGTTCAGGCAGGGTTCTGTCTGGGGCACAGAGCTGCCCTGCATGGACAGGGCATGTCCTAACACACATGGCAAAATGCCTCCTATGACTGCGCACTGCAGACAGGTGGACAAACCATATTTCAGAGAAGCTTGTCAGTCACTCATGATCTTCTCAGTGAGAACAGAACTAAAAAACCATCCCATTAACTGTTCCATTCCCCACTGTTGCGCTCATTGCATTCCTCCTCTTCTGAATCGGCAGACACTTTCTTAATCCTCTGGATGGCCGCCTTGATGCTCCTCTCCAGCTCACTGTCGGATCCTCTCTCGCCGTCTTTCTTGGGCTCTTGGCTGACTTTCCGCAGTTTCACTCCCTTCCTGATGGCTGCCAGGATGTTGTCGTTGAGAGAAGAGCTGAAGGGAGGAGCCGAAGAGGCCGGTTCCACTTTACGAAGAAGGATCTCGCCACGCTTAAGCGAAGCCAAAACCTCATCCATGGATCCTGGGGCAGAGCAAAGCAATCGGTTACTCTCAGGGGGAAAGACAAGTGATACGAAAACAACGCTTTGTCGGGCTCACTTACTCCAAAGGTAAACCCAAGAGTCATTCCCTGGCCTTGATCCACAGACACCTTTTCAGTCAAGCCTGAGCCCCCCCCCCCTCCAGCTTCAGGAGCTTCTTCAGGTTTCAGCAATCATTTTGGGCAGTGCTGAAGGAATAAAAACATCCTGCCCTCGGCAACATCATTCACATCTCTGCTTCCATTCTCCATGCTCCCATAAACAACCTGCCTCCACTGCAATGCCATCTCATTCACTGCATGGCCCAGGCTAGTATGGGTGGGATTACCCAGGCCTTGAACATTCTGCAAGTCTGTGCCAAAAAGTGCTGCAGAATTTGTCTGCTTGGCTCTGTCCCTGCAGTGTTGCCATTTTTGCAGCAAAGAGAACAGATGTCTAGCAGAGGCAAAGCTTCTCAACCCGCAGGAATGGCGGCATCACTCAAAAGCAGAGCACAGAATGAGCAAAACCATCCCTTGAATTCTTCTCTAAAAGACTATCATGTCAGCCAGCCATCCCCGAGGATGACTTGCAGAACATCACCAAGGGATCAATGGCCCCCGATCACATCTGCATGCTAGCCACTGAACTAGTCTGCTTTTCGGTTCGCAAGGGTTTTACCGGGCACACAGCCATCCTCCCGTGCAGACCGCACAGATGTATGGATCTCACGTACAACCATCTCACCAGCCGTGGAAGTAGCCCAAGTGCAGACACAGGCCACAATTCTCAAAGACTACAAAAAGAGAGCCCGGAGGGGTGAGGCGATCTTGGTAACAAGGGAGTCACAGGTTTGGTGAACAGAGCGTGCACTGCTGCTGTTTGGAAAAACACTGTATACCTTGATAAAAACAAACAGCAACATGATGCACAGAAAGAGGGGGCTATTTACCTGTACAATTACTTGGTACACACTTGGATGTATCATGTTTGTCCCCTTTGGAGTCCCTTTCTCTGGGAGGGTCTTCACATGCAAGGGGCAGAGACTTGTCTTTAGCTTGCATCGATTTTGAGCAAACAGGATGAGTGCCCAGAACTGGAGGAGGAGGAGGAGGTGGTGGAGGAGGAGGAGGTGGAGGAGGTGGTGGCGGCGGTGACACTGTGCCCCCCTCATTGTTCTTCTGTTGCTTTGGGTCACAGGACGGAAGAAAAATCTGGACAGGAACATCTGCAGGCGGCTTCCGGCGAGGTGCTTTGACACCTTTGGCTTGCACGAGGTGGGAGTTTTTGGACTGCTTTGCAGGCGTCTTGCTTATTGACAAAGGCTGAGGGGGGGTGGTTGGAGTCCGGCGGGGGATGCCCTGCCGCTGCGTGGAGCTCAGAGGCTGAGAGCGGGAAGTCTTCAACACAAACTGAGCCGGACATTTCTGCAAAGTGAGAACCTCCGTGTTTCAATCAAAAAACAACTGTTGTAAGGAGTAGCAGTGCTGATCAATGCTCCCTCTAAGCTGTGGAGTCTTGTGAGCAAAAATTCTACCTTGTGAGCTACTGGCATTAAAGTGGTGAGCGAGCGATTTGGCTGCTGCTCAAATTAGGTTGTACTGGAGCCATCCCTCCTGAGCTAAGAGGAAAAGGTGTGAGCTGGAGGCTAAAAAACTGTGAGCTAGCTCACACTAACTCAGCTTAGAGGGAACACTGGTGCTGACCATCATATTTGCACCCCACCAAAGAGGCACAACCCTTCCAAAGAGACTCTACAGAGCAATGTTATTAACTTCATATGCAGCCCACCTTTCTCACTAAAAGGGCAGACTACAAAATATGAAGGACAAATTCAACCAAGAGGCACGGATCTCTAATAAAAAAAAATGCAGTGGGCTAGGATAGAAGAGGTGGAAAACAGTGCAAGCAAATAATTAAAAAAACCTATCTATGGCAACAAAACAGTTGAAGAACTACCCAAGGCAGCATAAATGATCTAAGATTTGACATACCATAGTGAAGAAGCAAACAGTTACAAAGGTAGAAGGCACTGAGTCAACACAGAGTGTAAGAAAGAGTGCAGTATACTCACAATACTATCCCGGTCAATTTCACCACAACCCGCAGAGGCTAAAGCACTCTAGCTTGCTCAAGTGCACTAAAACAATGCAAGATTCCACTGTGGAATGAAAATGGAGGACCACAGTCCTGTCACCATACCTCTTTGAAGGACTTTAGCCTCTCCAGGGTTTTCTGACGCTCCTCCTTTATCCAGGCTTTCTTCTTTTTCTCCTCCTCCTTCCTGTTGTCTCTTTTCTGCATTGGAGCACATGGGAAGAGAAACACGTAAGCAGTGTTCCCTCTAAGCTGAGTTAAGCTAGCTCACTGTTTTTTAGCCTCCAGCTCACTTTTTTTTTTGGTCTTAGCTCAGGTAGGATGGCTCCAGAGCAAACTAATTTATGCAGTAACCAAACTGCTCACTCATAACTTAAATGCCAGTAGCTCACAAAGTAGAATTTTTGCCCACAAGACTCCACAGCTTAGAGGGAGCATTGCACGGAAGTGCTTTTTGTCCCTGCAGATTTGTGGCCTCCATTCCTGGCCCAGCTAAGAGCCTAGCAGGGACATAAGAGCACTGGGGCTGCAGCACAAACCTAGCCCTCAGGGGAAAAATAAAAGTGCCGGCCTTACTTCCCTGTCCGTATAACAGGCATAATGACAACAAGTCTATAGGTAAATGGACAAGAGAGCTGAAATTCTTCAGGCTGCTGAATCCTGAACCCTGTACTTGTTCTAGCAGAATTGCAGGCACACAGAGCCCCGCCCTATGGGGAGGATGACCAAGACTCAGAATGGCTACTGCCTTCCTTGAGCCTCGGGGGAGCCGTGTGTGCCTTGCCCTTTACAAAGGAAGCGAACTCCTGTACCCAGAGAAGAGGAACTCCACAAAACTTGAGCAGATATGCCAATAGTCTTAGTTTGTATAACTGGGCATTTCTTTCTACTGCATCTGGCTTATTGATCAGCCAAAAACCTTTTAACCATTTACAGCAACAATCCATTAAAATAGATTCAGGTGGGTAGCTGTGTTGGTTTGAAGCAGCAGAACAAGGTTTGAGTTCAGTGGCGCCTTTAAGACCAACAAAGTTTTATTCTGGGTATCAGCTTTCGTGGGCATGCACACATTAAAATGTAACACTGGATGCAGTATAAAGCCATAGAAAAATATTAAGTCAGATCATCCACTTTGGCAGTCCAGTTCTCATTCCTAAATCTCTGGGCCCATGCAGCTGATCTGGCCACTCTAAACATATTAACTATCCAGTGTTCAGAAAGTAAAAACATAACCTTACCAATATTAACAGGCCAGGAGAGTTGCTAATATCTCCCCAACAATGTTCTTTCTTGACAAATCATAATGGGACATCTCAACAAGCAATGACAAAATATTTTCTAGTTTCAGCCAGACTGCACACACATAAGAAGCCATTCTAGCTTCTCGTACTGCCCTTGTAAAAACCGG